ATTTGACTGCTCATCGTGTATCTCTAATTGACTACTTGACATTTCTACTTGGATGACCTTATTATTTAATACTAACATGCTGTCTGATGCTGAACCCCAGCATCACAGATGCAACTTGCAATTATAGTGTTTCCATGGGAAAAAATAGGCTGCTTAGTGATATGTTTTATAGCACAGTGGAAAGAATGACTGTTCCCTGCTCACAGGACACTTGTGCTTGCTTCTCCTCTGATTGCTACAGCCTCTCCATGTCCCACATGGCATTCTTCTCTCATGCCAACATACCTCCGAGGCCGGACTGCCTGGCAGAGTGGAAATCACTGTGTCTTCCTTTGGATTCTGTCTCTGGTTGTTTGCACATCGTTTTTCCTACATATAAGATGAGTGTTATGTACTAGAAGACTGGTAACATGACTTCAATTATCTTTCTGTAAAATTAAGATCTTTCAGTGTATCACACAGGATAGGTTAGATGAGCCTCAAACATTACCAGTCTTATTGTGACTTCAACATCTGATTCAATTGCCCGTTTCCTTTCAGTTATCAAACAGCTTTGTAAGTTGCTTTTCATTCAAAAAAATGTTTATAATTGTTCCCATTTTTCTTCCCATTTTTGTCTGTTTTAGTTCAGGCTCGTTCACAAGAGCTTCCTGTATAATTGTAACCTTCGTACTACATTTTGTTCCCATTATGCTTTCTAACTTGAGTCTCCTGAAGTCCAGCTGGATCAGGTTATTTCTACTGAGAAAATGTTATTGTCCCACTTTTTAATTTTAGCGATCTATCTTATTTTGATTTGAAAGGCAGAGTTACAGAGACAAGTAGAGAGATCTTCTGTTTTCTGGTTCACTCCCCAAATGTCCACAATGGCCAGAGCTGAGCCAATCAGAAGCCAGGAGCCAGGAAACAACTCTGGATATCCCAAGAAGGTACAGAGGCCCAAGGATTTGCTTTCCCAGGAAAATTAGCAGGGAGCTGGATAGGAAATGGAAAAGCCGGGATCCTAACTGCTACCCATATGGGATGCCTGTGCCAAAGTGGCAGCTTTACCGGCTACTGCACATTGCCATCCTGTCTTTGACTCTTCTAAAGGTGACTTCATGTGTACATGGCTGTTCAAATTGCTGTATTTTGGGGAGATTTCTAGAGCATCTTATTCAGTTGCTGTATTGCTCTGAGTCTGGAACATTCTGTTTCTTGTGATCATGGTCAGTAGTCCAACAGGTATTTCTAATACAAATCCATGTGCAAACAGCATCCCACATGCATTCCTAAACACTTATAATCCATTCTTACTTCTGATACTCTCATATGGGATGCCGCAGCTGCAGCCACAGCTAGAGGCCTAGCCTACTATGTCACGGTGCTGCCTCCCTTGCCCACTTCTGCATAGCATATTATGTCTTCTGATTCTTCTATAGAACCTTCTGATCCCCAGAACTAATTTGTTAATAATCATCTGTTTTTCACCCCCATTGTATGTTTTTTATTCTCTGATTTTAGTAATTTATTCTCCCTACCTAAATGCCTTTTTCTTTTTCCTCTTTGATCACTCTGAAACCTTATGGTATAAAATTTTATCCAGCTGGGCCCAATACAATAGCCTGGTTGCTAAAGTCCTTGCATGCACCAGGATCCCATATGGACACCAGTTCTAATTCCAAAGGCCCTGCTTCCAATCCAGCTCCATTCTGTGGCCTGGGAAAACAGTTGAGGATAGCCCAAAGCCTTGGGACCCCACATCCACATGGGGGACCCAGAAGAAGCTTCTGGTTCCTGGCTCCTGGCTTCGAATCAACTCAGCTCCAGCCATTGCAGCCACTTGGGGAGTGAATCAACAGATGGAAGATCTTCCTCTGTCTCTCCTCCTGTCTGTATATCTGACTTCCAATAAAAATAAATAAATCTTCTAAAAATTGTATCCAGCCATTTCAACAACATAGAACATTTGCTGAGGGTTCATGGTACCTGTTTTAAGGGTTCAAAACTGAAGGAAGAGAAAAAAAAAAAACCCTGGTTATTTCAAACAGTTCACAGAAAATGGAATTAGAACATAAGTTTATACAGGTCCAAAAAGTGTTGAAATCCCTGCAAAGTCTTTTTTTACAATATACATTTCCATGAATTTTCTGAAAAGAATTTCATATACATGATTTTCATATACATGGATTTCAAAAATTTCTTGCACCAAAATAAGCTTATCGCTTATTTCCATTTTATACAAGCTGAAATACCCACATACATTTTTATTGTTACATATGGCTCATTTCAACCTCTCACCACTCCCTGGAGATTAATGGCGTTAATCACATTTTACTTAAGACTCTAAAGCTCAAAGAGGTGAACCAACATACGCAAGGCCTACTACCAGGGTGCAGGAGAGTTGAGATTGGAAATTTGAGACCTTTTAACTTCTCTGAAAATACAAAGGATCATTTCTTGTTTTGTACTTCTCTCAGCAAATACATGTACAGAGTTGAATGTGCAAATTTTAAGTGCCTAGCATATAATCTGGCCCTGGCAGATATTCTTTAAAAATTTAGAAGAAAAACATTTTTTTTTTCTTAGAATTTGGGGGTATAAGTATTTAAGAATTCCTTTTTATACCTTATTTATCAAAGCGGCTTATTTGGTGATTGTCTCATTTTTTAAATGAAACAGGAAAATAGAAAAACATTTCTTTTTTTTTTTTTTTTGGTCATTAAATGAAATACCCTTTGTGTGTGTGTTTAGTCAACTTCCTTATATGATGCTGAGTAGGTAACATTGTTAGTGAGATTTTAAAAAATTATGATTATTTGAGAAGGAGTGGGGGAGAAAGCAAGCACCCTCATTTGTGGTGTCACTGCCCAACTTCCACGGGAATTCAGCCCAGGGTTGCAGGGACCTGCGGGAGCCCTCTCCTGCTGCCGCCGAGAGTGGACATCAATAGTCAGCTGGAATTTGAAGCTAATTAGGACAGTTGTATTCTAAACATCATCTTACATAGGAATTGACCCCAGTTTTTTTCACTTCAGTCGTCTCTTCTGTGCAGTTACTTCCCAAATACATACCTGTAGTCCCTTGTAGCTATTCTAAGTTTTAATCTTATAGCTTCAGTAAACTGGTAGATAATTCCATTGGTGACCTGTCATCTCAAAACAGGCAAAGTCATGTGCTCTGTTGTCTAATTATGTTTGTATAAACTATTTTTTCTGTAAGCATTAGATTTTAATTCTTCTTGAGTCCCATGTACCTATTACGATGTTGCGTGTACTACAGAAGTCCAAATGCTTACAATCACCATGGTTCTCATGATTAAAGTAGCTCTTCTGATAATCTAAAAAGCCTAGAAATAAGACACATTTTCTGCCTCTACAGAACCAGAAATCAACAAAGGAAAGTGCTGTTTTGTACCTTAAAACAGTGAAAACAGTAGGCTTGAAAATTGCCTTGTTTCCTTTGTAGAGAAAAAGTACATAACATAGTCTTTTCCTCCACAGTAATATAGTCATGAATGCTTTAAATATTTTTTAAATTAAAATCCATTCTAACTGTTGAAGGCAATAGCTCCATTTATCATCTTGATTTTCCTGAGTTTTATAGGTGTATGCGTATGTATATCTATAATGTATAAAATTATATGCATTAAGTGGGTACAGCCTTTTGGTTACATCAACAGCACTGTTAAAAATTAAGTCTACTCTTTTTAAAATAGGAAGTATGAAATTGAACTGTACTTTTAGCTGTTGGTCTCATTGGAAACCGATTTGATTTTCCATGTACTTGGGGTTTGCTTTTATTTCTCCTGGGTATTCTGTTTTTACAATTTTCCTTTCATATTTTTCTCCAAAATGGTTAGCTTCATGTTAGTAGCACATTTGAAATATTTTAGTTGTTTAGAGGTTAAGACAGATTTAGGACAAGGACCATGATTTATTTGTCTTTTTGTTGGCCATATGTCTGCATTAGTGTCTGATACCAAAATAAATAAAAAGTCAGTTAGTGGCAGATGGCTCTGATCTTGCAAGATAGAAACCAGTAGTACTTCTTATGATGCTCTGCAGGCCATATCCACATTTGCATTATAAATTAAAGATTTTAATGATGATTGACTCTTACATTAGCATTTTAACAAGTCCTCATTACGATTTTAAGGTTTTGAAAATCGTATGTTTATTTTTATTTGAAAGACAGAGTTACAGAGAGAGAAGGACAGAAAGGGGGAGAAAGAGATGTTCCATCTGCTGCTTCACTTTCCAGATGGCTAAAAACAGTTGAAGCTGGGCAGATGTGAAACTGGGAGCCAGGTGCTTCCTCTGGGTTGCTTGGGTTATCTTTTGCTGTTTTCCTAGGTATATTAGCAGGGAGCTGGATTAGAAGTGGAGCAGCTGGTAGCCTAGCAGCTAAAGTCCTTACCTTGCACGCAAAGGGATCGCGTATGGGCACTGGTTCATGTCCTGGCAGTCCCACTTCTTATCCAGCTTCCTGCTGTGGCCTGGGAAAGCAGTCAAGGACAGCCTGGGGTCTTGGGACCCTGCACCCGCGTGGGAGACCTGGAAGAAGCTCCTGGCTTCAGATCAGCTTAGCTCCAGCCTTTGCGGCCACTTGGGGAGTGAATCATCAGACGGAAGATCTTCCTGTCTCTCCTCCTCTCTATATATCTGACTTTCCAAAATAAATAAATAAATATCTTTAAAAAGAAAAAAAAGTGGAGCATCCGGGACCTCAGCTGCTACCCATATTGGATGCCAGCACCACAGGTGGAGGCTTAGCTTCCTATGCCACACTACCAACCCCAACTTAAGCATTTAGGAAGTATTTTTCATTGAATAAGTGAGCATATACACAGATTGTGTTGATGTTGTTACTTTACATAAACTTGTCATAAATCACCACTAATCCTCTGATTTTATATTTATCATTAATCTTATGTTTTAAAATCAGCTTTTTTCTAATGTACAAAAGATGTTGTGGCATTCAAAATCTTTTTCCTGCCTTCTCCCTCCTTGTTTTTATAGTTACCAGGTAGTGATATTGCCAGTGGAAGTGATGTACTTTCTGATGTCATACCCAGTATTCCAAGTTCACCTTGCCTGCTTCCTAAAAGGAAAAACAAACACCGGAATTTAGATGAGCTCCCTTGGAGTGCGATGACGAACGATGAGCAGGTAATGGTGTCGGCATTTAAGGGTGTATAGAGGATGTGGAGAATTCGGCTTAGTGCCTGTTTTTAGCTAGGTAAACCTGGTGTTCTTAGGAAGTCTGAATTGGAGTTTTAACTGTCAGGGAGCAAATATGTTAAGTACATAGAACGCCGTTGAAATGAACAGAGGTTTTGAGCATTAATGTTTGTTGTCCTTTCTCATCACACAGGTGGAATATATTGAATATTTGAGTCGCAAAGTTAGTACTGAGATGGGACTTCGGGAGCAACTTGATATTATTAAAATAATTGATCCTTCTGCTCAAATCTCCCCAACAGACAGTGAGTTTATTATTGAGCTTAACTGTCTCACCGATGAGAAACTAAAGCAGGTATGTGAAGAAAATGCAGAAAAAGCCACCATCTTCCACCAGGCTTGGATAATTCTATGTAAATCATCTGTAAATATATAGGTTATTAAAGTCAGAATCACTGACGTGAGCTATAATACTAGAAAAAATTATGATATTTGAAAGCATGTTGAGTTTGGGTTTTGTTTTTTTATGAGGTTTGTGTCGGTCTCACTTGGCAGTATTTTCCTGAATCAGTGTGGAACTGTTGCATAGATCAGAGGCTAGCTCTGTGCTCAGGGCTCCCATCTCTGGATACCTGAAAACTGGCAGAATTTTTTTTTTAAAGATTTATTTTATTTATTGGAAAGGCAGATATACAGAGAGAAGGAGATACTAAGAGAAAATCTTCCATTCACTCCCCAAGTGGCCACAACAGCTGGAGCTGAACTGATCCAAAGCCAAGAGCCAGGAGCTTCTCTCAGTGCTCCCATGTGGGTGCAGGGTTCCAAGGCTTTGTACCATCCTCTACCGCTTTCCTGGGCTGTAAGCAGGAAGTTGGATGGGAAGTGGAGCAGCCGAGGCATGAACCAGTGCCCGTATGGAATCCTGGACATATGCAAGGGGAGGATTTAGTCACTGAGCTATTGCACCCCACTTGTATCTTTCTTAGGAAGGTTTACTTACTGAAAATCAGAGAAGATAGGTAGGTAGATGTGAAGAGGGAGAAAGAGAGAGAGCTCTTCTATCCAGCCATATCTCCCATTTGAGTGGCAGAGGCCCAAGTTCTTGGGCCATATTCCATTGCTTTCCCAGGCACATTAACAGGGATCTGAATTAGAAATGAAGCTCCCAAGACTTGAATTAGTGCTCATATGGGATACCTGCATCCTGGGTCACAGCTTAACTCACTGTGCCACACTGTCGCTCCTGGTACTTGTGTCTACATGTAAAGGTTTCTTTTGCCCTTCTATCTTATTTACACATCTGCAGAAGTATTATCAGAATTTTAAAGACACTATGACTTCTTTCTCCAAAACTTTGAGGGTATGATGTCAAGGTACACCACTAATAAGTTTATGTCTGTGTGTCTCAAGGTCAGAAACTATATCAAGGAACATAGCCCTCGCCAACGGCCTGCGAGAGAGGCCTGGAAGAGGAGCAACTTTAGTTGTGCAAGCACCAGTGGAGTGAGCGGTGCCAGTGCCAGCGCCAGCAGCAGCAGTGCCAGCATGGTCAGTTCTGCAAGCAGCAGTGGGTCCAGTGTTGGAAACTCTGCTTCAAACTCCAGTGCCAACATGAGTCGAGCACACAGTGACAGCAACCTGTCTGCAAGTGCAGCAGAGCGGATTCGGGATTCAAAAGTAAAATGTCTCATCACTACAAAACTTTACCTTTCAATACTAACAGTAGTCCTCCTTCATCTAAACTTACTGGAACGCTAAAATAATCTTGCTATCTAGATACTTGTGGGGTTGGTTTTAATTGAACAAGTAAGAAACTCTGTGGTTGAACAAAGCAATCTCAGCTGAGTTGCTTTGAAGTATTGTTTTGACCCACAACCGTATCACATTGAGTTTCATGTGTTTTTGTGTCTGAAATGGGATTACCTAACGGAACTAACAAGTGATTCTTAGGATTGCAATAGTGACTGCAACTCACTGCTGAGCAAATTGCACTACGTGGCTATTAGCTCTGAAAATTTCTGTGTGTCTTCTACTGTGTGTTAGATGTTTCTCTGAATATTTTAATTGTGCATGTTGCTTCTGCCCTCACGTTATGATGATATGTCCTGTAATTTCTAGTCACTGTATTGTTTAATTTGAACAATTCTGTATAGTGTTGTTGGACACTTAGAGGAAAGTATATGTACGTATATTTAGAATGCTTCTGTGGCTTAGCAGGAGAATTCTAGTCCCTGGCAGTGGCAAGAGTTAAGAATGATAAGAGAATCTCTCAAAGTCTTTGGAAACCCAGTTGTGACTTGAAAATGCACAGTGATTCGATCCCTAGTTCATGATGAAACAGCAAAAATGTAGCCAACTCTGATACCAAGGGATTTCTCTGAATTTATGGTTATTGCTTTTTGGTGTCCATTCACCACTGACAGGGATTGAAATACCCAATGGGTTTCTAATAGTCTTTTTTTTTTTTTTAAGATTTATTTATTTATTGGAAAGTCAGATATACAGAGAGGAGGAGAGACAGAGAGGAAGATCTTCCATCCGATGATTCACTCCCCAAGTGAGCGCAATGGCCGATGCTATGCCGATCTGAAGCCAGGAACCAGGAATTTGTTCGGGTCTCCCACACGGGTGCAGAGTCCCAAAGCTTTGGGCTGTCCTCAACTGCTTTCCCAGGCCACAAGCAGGGAGCTGGATGGGAAGTGGAGCAGCCGTGATTAGAACCGGCGCCCATATGGGATCCCGGGGTGTTCAAGGCAAGGACTTTAGCCACTAGGCCATGCAGCCGGGCCCCTCTAATAGTCTTTTAAGATGGCATTAATGATACTTGCCCAATATGAAAAAAATGTGTGATTTTTTTCCTCCCAGATTTTGTGACATTGCTAGTGATTTTGGATAAAAAGGTACCTTAATTCTATACACATTACAGATTTGGCAATAATCTCTACCTTTGCATTCAGTATTCTCCCCTAATATTGCTTGTGTAATCGCTATGCATTAACAACAGTACACCGTACTTTGATTAAAAGAATCTTTTATATGACCAGTTATCCATAAATAGCCAAATTGACCATTTTTCAACGCGTCTTGATTGGTATTTTATTGGTGAAATACTGTGAAAATGGAATCTAAAGAATCATTTTCAGTTCAGTTTTCTAAGTCAGTGACTCACTTTTTGGGGTGAGGATCAAACAGCAGAGCCTTTTGAACAGCTCATAAAAATAGAAAATAGAGAATTTGATCCAGGCTTGGACCTACCAAGTACTAAACCTTACTGACTTAAGAATTTTTCTCTTGACAGAAGAGATCCAAGCAGCGGAAATTACAGCAGAAGGCCTTTCGCAAGAGGCAGCTGAAGGAACAGAGGCAGGCCCGGAAGGAGCGGCTCAGTGGGCTCTTCCTTAATGAAGAAGTTCTATCATTGAAAGTGACTGAGGAAGACCATGAGGCAGATGTTGATGTTTTGATGTAATGAGTGTGAATTCATCAGCATTCTTTTGAAATAAGCATTGAAGTGTTTTGTCCTTCTTGGTTTACATGCATCAAGACCAAAATTTTGGTTAGAGCTGTGCTGATGTATCATTACTAGTTTGTCTGTGATTTGCAGTGGGTGGTCCTGGGACCTGCAGCTCCATCATCACCTGAGACATTGTTGGAAATGGCACCCTTGGGCTCCACCCCAGACCTAAGGAATAGCAAAACTGAGGGGAGAAGCCCAGCTGGTGCGTTTTAACCAGTTGCCAGGTTATTCAGAGTCACTCTGGTTAAGAACCACTGGTTTTGGTAAATGTTTTGATGATTTAAGAGTTCAAGGTACTGCTGACATGTAGTTTATTATGTCAGTGTGTATACTTATATCGAGATCATAATTCAGATTCCTTCTTAGTATGATTTCTTAGTTTATACTTTTCCTAAAGGGCCATAGCATAATTCTCAATTCCTGATCTCTTTCTGAAGCGTGAGCAAGGTGTGGGTTACTGTTTACAATAGTGCCTTCTTTAGAGTTTTAGTTCTATTTTCGTTTGTGAAGTCAAAGGCATAAAAAGAGGCCCTAATATTTTTCCAGTTAGATTTGTTTTCGTTTTTTACCTTCTGTAAAATCAGACTCCTTTTTGGAAGTGACAACTACTGAGAAGATAATGTTATTAGAAACTAAATTTTAGATTTGATGCTTTGCTAATATTAAAATGGAAAAAAAGCAGTTTGACAAAGTAGCCAGTTCTGCTTGTCTACTGCTTTCTGAAATTTTGGGCTGTAAAACTATCTCAAAGACAGAAAACCAATCAATAGCTCTCTTTCTGATTATTTTTTTGTAAGTCAGTTTTTTTTTTTTTATTTCCAGCACAGCTCTAAAGTTTTAAATAGTTGATAATAATATCTTTTTCTGGCATGTGAAATGAAAAGCTTAATGTTCAAAATTAACTAATGAGAACCCTTAGAGTTCTGCCAAATTTCTCTTATAAATTATTAGAAATATGCAAAGCAATGACATAGAAAAAATACTTTGTCGGTTGTTAATAGATCTCTACGTGTGAAGTTATGGAGTTACTTTAAATGCTTGCATAGAGAGATTGCTTTTATGAAACTATAAATAGTGTGATCCCTTTGCTTTTATCACATGCCATTTAACGTTCACTTGTTCAGAGAAGATGGGAAGTGATACTACTGACAATCAAGCTGCTTTCCAACTTTCATAATTTACTTTTACTGTGTGTAACATTACATTCATGAGTCTGTAGGAAGAGTTGTAATCAGTATTTTTAAAAACTTTTGAGTTCAGAGGTTAGTAGGATTTTTACTGTCATCTTTTTGTTGTAACCAAGTAACTCACTAAAAAAGAACCATGATTTACATTTTTAATTCTTAGTTGACATGAAGGCTTAAACCTTTACAGTTCCGTATTTTGAAAGCTTGATTTCATCTTGGTTCCTTAAAGGTTTAAAGCATTAATTGTGAAGATGATCATTCATTGCAACTTAGCTAAGATCTGTGATTTTTAAAAACAGCTAAAGTATATGCTTTAAAATTGAATAAAATAAAAGCATGTATGTGCATATGGTTTGCAGTGGGAGAAGCCCTTCTGACTTCCCTGCTACCCTCTTTGGTGCTCTTAACCGGCTTAGGGGGCTCAATGAGAGTTGAGGGATGGACCTCAGAATACTCTGAGGAAGACATGATGGGTCAATCTCCTTGTTTCTCCTTCAAAGTTTAGGAAAAACAAATAGAGTTAAACAGCTTATCTGCTCATACTAAGGGCAACATCCCACAGTAGAGTTGCCTGTTTTGATCTGTTCTTTGGAGAACAATGAGCAGCATTTATCTGTTTTTCTAGTACTTGGAAACTGTTTACTTAACAGTGACCAGTAAAAACAAATCCTAAACAGGGTCATTGAGGTAATGGAAGACCAATTCTTTCCCTCTCCTAGTGGTCACATAATCAATCTTACTACCTTAGATTTCATTGAAGTCACTATTGGACAAGTTTACCCAAGTGCCACCAAAGCCAAGTTTGAAAACTTGGAAAGGTTTGATTATAGACTGGCATGAGTCTTCTAAATCCAGATGCACTGTCTTTGTAGTACTAATTGTAGGTTAACCTACAAAGTTGTTTTTAGAGGAGATTAAAAATATTTCTGTCAGTTAAAAGAAAATAAGGTATAACAGCTTGGACTTATCTATAATCCAAAAACTTTAAATTTTGTTTTACAATCCTGTGGTTTTTTCTCTATCCTCCAAAAAGAAACCAGCACAAAAAAAGACACAAACAAAAAGCGCTTTGGTCTTTGACACTGTGCGCTAATTTTTTTTTTCTGTTTTAAGGCCTCATATACTTAATTCAAATCTCTTTGAAATAAGTTATAACTCAATTTGACATATTTCTGAGTTCAGTTTTTAAAATCAAACTGAGTATGTTTTAAAATATAAACCTTAGCTAACCATTTGTTGCAAGGTGGAACGCTCATGTTCCAGTGTCACTGCTCACTTACAGAAAATTGACATTGGAGAAACAAGTATCTCCCTTTAAAACTTATTCTTGTTAACTTAAGGAAATGAAAAAATCCCCGGTATATTCAGTAGTATTTTATTAGAGATTGGTAGTAGTCTAAACTTAGTACAGCTTTTTAAAGTATAAAACCCTGAATTGGACAAAAAGGCATGTATTTTTCTACAGTTTTGCAACAGACTGAAGGGAGCTATGTAGTTTCATGTGAATAGGGTATTAAGAGCTAGTTCATTCTGTCCCAACAAAAACTTAAGAGTATAATAGCATTTTTATGAGAATTCTTTCATTTCTGTTTGCTCTGGCAGTTTTGTCCAATTTCTCTTTCCAGTAGGTAAATTAGATAAGGTTAAATTAAACCCAGAACGTTACTGCTAAAATAAAATGCTGACTCTGCATAGGTTGGGTAGACATCTCAAGCTAGCTTTTTCAAGCATCAAATACCCTCATGAAGGAAAAATTACAGGAAGTTATAGATATTCAGATTCTGATAAGCTTTAAAAATTGTAAAATTACTCAGTGTCTTTGTATTTAAGCCAAAAATGTTCATGTACAGCCAATGTAGAAGTCTTATTTGTTTCATGTTCTGTAGTAAAGACTTTTTCTTTTGTGGCTTACTCTGTATAGCCTCATGTGCCTTAAAAGTGGTAAACTCTGTACTTTTTGTCAATATCAGGCTTTCCAAACTCAAAAGCTATCTGAATGTTGTAATTCAATTTACATAATGTCCATGATATTAGAGACGAGTAAATTGTATCATTAAAATGAACCAATCTATAATAATAGAGTGAAACAAAACAAAAATATTCAGATCTTAAATTTTATTTGCATGGATTTTTTTTTTTTTGGCCCAGCTAGATCATTGAAGAACCATTAAGATTACCTTAAATGTTGCTTCATGACTTTTTTTCATTTTGACTTTTCCTGAAAAAGATCATAGCTGCCAGGGTGATTTTTTTTTTAACTGAGATAGTGTTTAATGACCTGGAAAGATCATTTTCAAGGTATAGGCAAAAGTACTTTGAGGACAGAGATTATATAGTAAAATGATTATCTGGTTAACTTTAGGGATTCTTTGAATTCACTTATGTAATAGCGGGAGCACCCCTTACCCCTTTCCTTTATTGACTTACCTTTTAGCACTTTTATCTTGAAGAATGCTGATTTGGAATTGGTGAGGAGTACTTAAAGAAAGTTATAGTTTGGAATAGTTGGTAGGAAAATTCACAGTGGCAGTCAAATGGTAGTTTTGATGTTGAGTGCCGTGACATTCAACATATCTAACTAATCAGTTTAATCCTGAAAAGGAATGTTAGTTAGGAATTGAGCATTTGTATACACACGTATGAGGAAACTTCAAAAAAGTTTGTGGAACATGGAATTGAAAGTGGAAATTTATTTTAACAAAAAGGAATTTTGAAATCCTGGCATACTTTTTCATGGTCTGCATTATTTGTACCAAATTAACATATTCTTTTAATTCTGTTTTTTTCCATGAACTTTCTGAAGTGATTTCATAACTGTGGAAACTTGGATTGGTTTTTAAGTCTGATAAAGTAAGATAAATTTTATCTAAAATTTGAAATTTGACGTCCACCAGATATTTTAAACTGGACTCTATCAGCATAGTTTCTGGGACATAGCTCCTCAGAATGCTTCTGTATTATTTCTTTGGAAAGGAACTAGCTTATTCCAAAGGGCTTAGAAGGAATTCTGAACATTCCCCCAACTGGCTGTTAAGAGTAAGGAGACTGCATGGTAGAGCCGAAGCTCTTAAGTTGATGTGCTAACATTTACTTTCCCTAATTCTTTCCCAATAAGTTATTTTCAGCTTCCCTTCTAATCATTTTTTTAGTTAAGAAGATCCATCTTTTAGCCTAGATCCTATAGTGGTAAATTAGATTTTAATTTGACATACATACTGAGCCGAGAAAACCTGATTTAGTCTTTTCTGAATTCAGTATCTAGTGCTTTTTCTGTATTGTCAAATTTTTGTTGCATCTTCATGGTCTGTGGAACCTGTGGAAATCTATGTTGTTGCTGTTGTTGTTGTTGTTGTTTGTGGGGGTGAAAAAAGGGAGAATTGCTCTAATTATGCATATACATTTGGATTATGTAAAGATAGTTGTAGAATTAATATGTACAAATGACAAGTTAACACTTACTGTTCTGAAGAACAGTGGCCTGAATCCATGGCTTGTTTTGCAGCACCTGCCCTAAAACAGTAGCTGACCTATTGGATTTCCATTTAGATTGAGGATTAGGTTATCTAGCTGAGGCTTTTAGGAATAGAGAGGATAACGTCTGTTCCTGTGTAGTGGATTGATTTAATTTTGTATCGGAGCACCCTAATTTAAATATTATCCATTCTAAATCTGTTTTATTACAGATTGAATAAGACTGTTGACAAAAGCTATTAATAACACAAGTGTGTGTAAATCATTTCACAGATGGTTAAAATCTTCAAATTGCTGATGGGAATTTTTTTTTGTTTGCCTTTTTAGGTTTCAGCGATTAGTTATGTAGCATCAATATCATAAC